TAGAGTTGAAATCAAAGGCTGTAACAAAAGATGACGAAGGGCTTTCTATATTAATTCCAGGGCCTCTCCATCAGGAAGGGCTAAAAATTTTAAATGTCTACACAACAAATTTGGAGACACAAAAATATAGAAAACAATTAATTAAAAACATATAGAACCTTGTTGAGAAGAATGTGGTAATTGCAGGGACATTAAATTAAACACAGAAAAAAAGATGGAAAATCTCCAAAAGCATGGAGGTTAAAATACATCCCACCAATGAATAAATGGGTCAACCAGGCAATTTGAGAAGAAATTAAAAGATATAAGGAAACAAATGAAAATGAAATACAACAATGCAAACCCTTCGGGATGCAGCAACGGCAGTCCTGACAGGGAACAACACAAACAAACCAAAACACAACAACAACAACAACAACAACAACAACAACAACAACAACAACAACTACTACAATAACAAACGTTGCTATCCAGGGCTATCTCAAGAAGCAGGAAAAATCCCCAATACAAAATCTAACAGCACACCTAAAGGAACTAGAAGCAGGACAGCAAAGACACCCCAAAGCGAGCAGAAGAAGAAAAAGTATAAAGATCAGAGCAGAAGTAAACAATACGGGGTCTAAAGGAAAACAGTAGAGCACATCAATGAAATCAAGAGTTGTGTTTTTGAGAAAATACACAAAATTGATAAACGTCTAGCCTGGCTTCGCAAAAAGAAAAGAGAGGGGACCCAAATAGGTCAAATCACGAATGAATATGGAATTATTACAAAGAATCCCTCAGAAATTCAAGCATTCATCAGGAAACACTATACAATCTTCTCTGCCAACAAACTGAACAACCTGGAAGAAATGGACAAATGCCTCCATCCCCACACACTTCCAAAGCTCAAACGGGAATAAATAGAAAATGTGAACGGACCCATAACTAGTGAGGAAATTGAATCAGTTATCAAAAATCTCCCAATAAATAAGAGTCCTGGTCCAGGTGGCTTCCCTGGCGATTTCTAGCAGACATTTAAAGCAGAGAAAATAGCTATCCTTCCCAAGCTGTTCCAAACAATGGAAATGAAAGGAAAACTTCCAGACTCATTTTATGAAGCCAGCATTACAGTGATTCCCAAACCAGACAGAGACACAGAAAAACAGGAGAATTATAGGCCAATATCCCTGAAGAATAGGGGTGCAGAAATTCTCAACAAGATACTAGCAAATCACGTTCAATAGCATATAGAATGTATTATTCAACACGATCAAGTGGGATTCATTCCTGGCCTGCAGGGCTAGTGCCATATTCACAAATCAATCATTGTGCTACATCACATTAATAAAAGAAGAGATAAGAACCATAGTACACTGTCAATAGATGCAGAAAAAAAGTAGTTGAGAAAATACCACATCCTTACTTAACAAACCCTCAAGACAGTTGGGATAGAGAGAAACTACTTTACACATCATAAAAGCCATTAATCAGAAGCCCACAGTAAAGATCGTCCTCAATGGGGAAAAACTGAGAGCATTTCCCCTGAGTTCAAGAACAACACAGAGATGTCCACTCTCTCTCCGGTTGTTGAACATATTGTTGGAAATCTTAGCATCAGTAATCAGACAGTAAATGAAATTAAAGGTATCATCATTTGCAACGATGAAGTCAAACTTCCACTTTTTGCAGATGGCATGACACTATACATGGAATTTCCGACAGATTCCATCAAAAGTCCTCTAGCACTGATACATGAATTTAGCAATGTTGCAGGGTACAAAATCAATGTACAGAAATTGGTTGCATTTTATAAACCAATAATGAAGCAACAGAAAGAGAAATAAAGAAACGGATCCCATTTACAATGCACCAAGAATCATAACGTACCTAAGAATAAAGCTAACCACAGAGGTAAAAGATCTGTATTCTGAAAACTATAGAAGGCTTGTGAAGGAAATTGACGAAGATACAGAGAAACCGAAAGCATTCCATGCTCGTGGATTGGAAGAATAAATATTGGCGAAATGTCAATACGACCCAACGCAGTCCTCACATTATATGCAGCACCAATCACATTGCACCAGCACTCTTCTCCAAGCTGGAACAAACAATCATAAAATATGTATGGAAACACAAAAGACCCTGAATAGCCAAAGTAATACTGAAAAAGTAAACCAAAGTCACTGGCACCACAATGCCAGTCTTTAGCCGCTACCACAAAGCTATAACCATCAAGACAGCATGGTATTGGCACAGAAACAAATACATAGACTTAATGGCTTAGAATAGAGAGCCCAGAATTGGACCCACGTACATATGGCCAACTAATCTTTGACAAAGCAGGAGAGAATATCCAATGGAAAAAAAGACAGTCTCTTTAACAAATGGTGCTAAGAGAAGTGAATATCAACATGCAGAAGAATGAAACTAGAGCACTTTCTTACACCACTCACAAAAATAAACTCACAATGGTGGAAGGACGTGAATGTGAGACAGGAAACCATCAAACCCTGGTGGAGAAAGCAGGAAACATCCTCTTTGACCTCAGCGTCAGCAAGTTCTTAGCTGACACATCTTCAAAGGCAAGGGAATTAAAAGCAAAATGAACTATTGGGATCTCATCAAAATAAAATAATTCTCCACAATGAAGGATACAATCAACAAAACTAAAAGGCAACTGACCGAATGGGAAAAGATGTGTGCAAAAGTCATACTGGATAATTGACTAGTACCCTAAACCTGTAAAAAGAAATCACCAACTCCACACCCGGAATTCGAAGAATCCAGTGACGAAATGGGCAAAAGGCTGAACAGACACTGTTCTAAAAAAGACATCCAGATTGTCAAGAGACACATGAAAAGATGCTCAACAGCACTCCTCGTCAGGGAAATCCAAAGTAAAACCGCACTGAGATACCACCTCATGCCAGTCACAGTGGCTACAATGAGCAAACTAGAAGACTATAGATGCTGGTGAGGATGCGGAGAAACAGGAACCCTCTTGCACTGTTGGTGGGAATGCATCCTGGTGCAGCCACTCTGGAAAACAGTGTGGAGGTTCCTCAAATCATTAAAAATAGATCTACCTTAACACCTAGCAATAGCACTGCTAGGAATTTACCCAAGGGGTACAGGAGTGCTGAGACATAGGGGCGCATGTACCCCAATGTTTATAGCACTACTTTCAACAACAGCCAACTTATGGAAAGAGCCTAGCTGTCCATCAACTGACAAGTGGATAAAGAAGTTGTGGTTGATGTATACCAAGGAATACTACTTGGCAATGAGAAAGAACGAAAGCTGGCCATTTGTAGCAACGTGGATGGAACCGGGGGGGTATTATGCTACGTGATATAAGTCAGGCAGAGAAAGACAGATACCATATGTTTTCATCCACGTGTGGATCCTGAGAAACTTAGCAGAAGACCATGGGGGAGGTGATGCGGGGAAATAGTTATAGAGAGGGAGGGAGGCAAACCATAAGAGACTCTTTAATACTGATAACAGACTGAGGGTTGACGTGGGGTTGGGGAGAGGGGAAAGTGGGTGATGGGCATTGAGGAGGGTACCTGTTGGGATGAACACTGGGTGTTGCGGGGAAACCAATTTGAAAATAAATTACATTTAATGAAAAAGCATATCCAGGGGTTGCCCTTACTGAATATGAGGATAGCTTCCCATTTTCAGTACATTTTGAACGTGAGGTAGTACTGGCTTAAGCTGCCTAGATGAAAGTTTGGTTTGTGTGTTTAAGAAAAGGAGTTGAGTAAACACAGAGGCCTCTCACATGTATCACGTTGACCTTGACAAGTGTCTCTTCTGATTGTTACCATGACTTATCCCTTTTATTGATTCGCAATAGTTTGGTGTCATCCTTTCATGAAGAAGTGGATTTCAATTGATCATGGTAGGTGGTCCTTGTAATATTTTGTGAATTATTTGTGTATGTGGTGATGATGGATGGACCATGCTGGTTGCTTTCAAAGCACTTACACGGACGGTGTAACACGTTTTCTACCCATGGAATCCCATACGGTCTTTTACTACCTGTGTGTGACTTACCTGAAATATCATGAATTGGTAGGTACCGAATAGGTTTTAGTGGCACTAATGCCCTCATGGCCACTCACGCAGAATTCGTTGACACATTGCTCTTAAGCACACAATGACTCGGTCTTCCATAAGCTGCGTGAAAGTGAGCATGCATCCTAACTAGGCAAACTGTTTGTTGCTGCTGTGAAGAACAGCTTCCTGAACTGCGAGCTATAGCAACACACATATGGAACCCTAAGCAAGGCACAGTATATGTGTATTCTTTGAAAGAGTAGAGTAGTTACTTCAATTTGGCTTTCAGTGCGTTGCATGACAAGGCATTTAATTCGCTTAAACCCTCTTACAGTCATGTTTGATTCCAAGTTGTGTGTACTCTCCACCACGAAGTGTCATCTCATGTGAGATGGAATTAATGGAGGCTGAGGCACCAGTGCATTCACGTCGAGGACAACCCTCTTGAACTCATCAAGAACTGTGGGCCTTCTCAGGTAAGATTACGTGCAGGTCTTTCTCAAGGGCATAATCTTTTTTTTTTTTCAATGTTTATTTATTTTTGGGACAAAGAGAGACAGAGCATGAAGGGGGAGGGGCAGAGAGAGAGGGAGACACAGAAGGGAAACAGGCTCCAGGCTCCGAGCCATCAGCCCAGAGCCTGACGCGGGGCTCGAACTCACGGACAGCGAGATCGTGACCTGGCTGAAGTCGGAGGCTTAACCTACTGCGCCACCCAGGCGCCCCAAGGGCATAATCTTACACACAGCCCAACCTAAGGCAGCTTTGGGCAGCCGGCAGTGATAGGATAGGTAGACATTGTGACCTCACAAAGCGCCTGGTGTCCTAGCAACTGCTGTGTAACTCTCAACAGCCTGCTGCCTGATTTGGTTTCTGGTAGGAAATTCATCAGGGCCCGGCGGCGGCGGCGAGATCTGGCAAGCTCGGGCCGCCCCTAGCGGCCTCACCTCCTGAGCCGCATGAAGAGGCGGCGGCGCAGGCCCCCGGAGGCCCTGGCCCCGGCCACCTGGGGAGGAGCCTCTAGCGCTGCAGTAAGGGCCGCACTGGAGGCGCCTGAGGAGAAGGTGGTGTACACGCGGTGGCAACCGTCGCCACTGTCGCTGGCCAACAGCAGCAAGGCGCTGATCGACGCTTTCAAGCTATTCGTGCCCGGCAGCACGGAGTTCATGAGCTCAGACGCGGAGCTCTGGAGCTACCTCTGCAGCCTCAGGCACCAGTTCTCCCCCCGCATCCTGCGCAGCAAGGACGTCTATGGTTACTCCTCCCTCCTGGCCCAGGTTCCGGACCCCCGGCACCAGCCACCCGAGGCCCGCCTCCAGACGCGCCGGCGAGCTGCCAGGAGGAGGCGCCACGGAGCCCGGAAGGTCGCCGCCGGCCAGAGGAAGGTGCCGCCCCCGCCGCCGCCGTCCCGCGAGGACAGCAGCCCTCGCAAGCCCACGGCCCCCGGGCCCAGCTCCGGGGGCCGCACCCTGGAGGAGAGTGGGAGGGCAGCCACCCCAACGCTGACCACCTCGCCCAGCATCCGCGTAGTCGGCGACGTGTGGGTCGAGAGCAGCGTGGCAGAAGCGCGGCGCCAAGCGCGCCAAGTCCTGGGAGTGAACCTGGAACCCGTGGTGAGACTCCGCCGCGTCCCAGTGCCTGGGCGTGAGATGAGGGCCACAGCCGCGCGACCTCCCAGCCCCGGGACCGGTTGTGCCTGGAGGGATGAACCAGAGAGAGCCGGGCCCGCATCCCCTAGTGCACTTTACCGGGGAAGAAGCACCAGACGGTCCCGGCCCGCGCCTCCGGGATGCGGCGCCGCCTTCTGGGACTCCGGGGCAGCTGTGCCCTCTGCTGCCTCCCAGTACCGGGTCTGCGGAGGGAGGCGACCCCTGGACCGCAAGGGAGGTCCCCTTTCTTCCTAACCCCAGATTGAGAGGTCTCCAGGACTGTAGGGGCAGATCCATGATCTCTCTTGTTCTCTCATTGCTCTGAAGTCGTCCGAAGAAGCCATTCCACCCCCACCATCTCCAAAGGAATTTGGTTCCATGCTTGTGTAATAAAGCTAGAGTTTCTTTGGCATTCACCCACCTCCGGGCTCCTCCCGCCGATTTCTTTCTTTCTTTGTGTGTATGTGTATGTATATATATATCTTCTAGGATGATTTAAAGTACATATTCTTTAAATGTTTAGATGAGACAATAGAGAAAAAAGGGTGTGACTTAGGGGTCTGCACCCAGATTAAAATAAGATTATTGAAGTATAGTATATATTCAAAAGGACATATATTATTTTTTTCATGTTTGTTTATTTTTGAGAGAGAGACACCGTGTGAGCAGGGGAGGGCCAGATAGGGAGCCACAGGATCCAAGCAGGCTCCAGGCTCTGAGCTGTCAGCACAGAACCTGATGCGGGGCTCGAACTCACAAACCATGGGATCATGACCTGAGCCAAAGTTGGACACTTAAGTGACTAGCCACCCAGGTACGCAAAAAAGAACATATATTATTAAATGTATTCTGAGCACAGCTTGATGAAATTCAGTTCAATATACTTGTGGAATCAGCACTCATTAAAAAAGGTACCAGGACCCCAAGGGATCACCTGTGCCTCTTTCAGTCACGGTCTATCTCTCCTTTGGGACGGCAATTTTTCGGACTTCTTGCAGAATATACAACCTTTGCTTGTTTTTGGACTATATAGAAATGGAATATTGTGTGCTACACCTACCTTCTTTCACTCCAACTTATGTTAGTGATATTTGTTATTCATCGTAGTGCCTGCGTAGTGCCTGTGAGCTCTGAATACTTGATAGCCTTGCCAACACTTGCTAATATGGTCTTTTTCATTTTATCTATACTGGCAGGTGTGGAGATTTTTTTTTTTTGAGAAATATCAATCCAAGTATTGTATACAAATAGTTAAAAAAAAAACCACAAAATCCAAAATGCAGATCAGGGTGTGCAATAAAAAATCAAAAGCTTGGTTTCCCCCATGAACACCTCTTCCCCAGAGGCAACACTTTCTATCCTTTTTTCTTTTTTTTTTAATCAGGGTTTTTTTAAACAGAACATTTTTTAGGACAATTTTAGATTTAGAGACAAATTGCACAAGAAATACAGGTTCCTCACCCCCAGTAGTTTCTATAGTACCTTGCACTAATGTGGATACATTAATTATAAGTGGTGGATGAGCCATTCTTGACTGACACTTTATCATTAGACACATTATCATTTACTAACAGTTAGGGTTCATTTTGTGTTATATAGATTCATAACTTTTGAGAAATGTATAAAGGTATGTATCTACTATTGCAGTATCATACAGAATAGTTACACCACCCTAAGGTGCCCTGTGCTCCAACTAGTACCACTTCCTCTCTCCCCCTAAACCCTAATAGCCACTGGTCTTTTTACAGTCTCTGAAGGTGTTTTGTTGTTGTTGTTGTTGTTGTTGTTGTTGTTGTTGTTGTTGTTGTT